AGGCAGGATAGACATGCACCTTTATAGACTGACTAAATAAAATACATGGAGACAGCACAAGCGGTCGTGAATCCAAGTTCACTTTGTCAGGTGCTGTGCAAGGCTGGGCAGAAAGGAGGAGGGAATGATTAGACTCCTAATAAGATCAGGGTTTATATCCTCTTCACCCAGCAGCCATTCGGGGGGTAGATAATCGTACCCATCCAGGAAAAAACTAGGGTGCTGTTACAGGTTACCTTTAAAACAGTTTAAATCTGGGTGTCACCAAGTCTGAGGAGTTTCAGAGCAGTCCCAGGTTCAGGCTGGATGCTGTTTCAGACCTGCATAACGATGACTTGCCACTGGAGGGCTGGCAAGCAGAGGCAAGGCCAGGGATAGGAGCGGGGTGGTGGCATAAAGCTTGGAGGTGGAGAAGAGGAAGGCGAAAGGAGCAGGGAGTCTCAGAGAGTAGAATACTTTTTCCCTGGTTATTTCAGTGCTGGTTAAAGGGGCCCTAGAGTCCTAAATTTATCCATGCAGGCAACATAGCGTAGGCAGAAACAGGGCGACCCTCCACCCTGGTGCCTCAGCTGCGTCGTGGAGGGAATGAAAGAGGTCTCCTATCCATGTCATCATCGCATCCTCAGTATTGTTCAGGTGGTGACAGGGCCTGAGCGGCAAGACGTAGTGTTATCTAGCTCGTTAGAGCTGAGTTCTGGCCCCAGGTCTGCTGCTAGCTCCTGTGCAGTGTTGGGAGAGGCCTCTTTGCCTGTTTCTCAGCATGAGAGCTGATTTTGAGCCTCCTTTGCAAAGTGCTTTTGAAATACATGGGTGACAAATGCCACATAAGAGCTAAGCATGGCTTTTATAGGTGCTTTCTGTCTGCCTTTCACAGTACCCTGCCATGCCTTTCCAGCAGGTCTTTGTCTCCCCCAGCCCCTCTAGCTCCAGCAAACTCGATGCACTTAAATACCCTAGACATGGTGCTACTTGAGGCACCCTTCAATAGCCTTAAGCACCCCTTTATAGACTCGAGCCACCCCTTGGCCAATGCCAGCTCTTAGTTTTCACTCCTTTTTATACTATAGAAAAACAATAGAGCAATTCTTCTGTTGCAAAGCACTCAGATCCCAACAGAGCAGCGCACTCTTAACGCGATGGGGTCATGTGTGAAATCTCTGGGTTTGTCTTGCGGATCATGTTTCTAAACCTAACAGGGTTAGCATTGTGTGGTACCCTTGAAAGGGTCTCAAGGCAGCCCCGGTTGAGAATCACTGGATCAGGTCAGTGAATGCAGTGCTCTGCACTGAGAGTGGAGCTGCTGGGGGTGCTACCATGGTCTCCCTGGCTTCATTGAGCTGCCCAGAGCAGCTGGTCTCTGAGCAGAGAGGGCAGGGGGAGGAGTAGAGGTTTGGAGGATGGTAATGGGGCTGGGAGCTGTGCATCCTGGGATGCCGGAGGACTAGGCAGGAAGTATTTTATCTCCCCAGTGCTGCCTAACAATACCCTAGAAGGACCGGGGCAATACAGGTCAAAGATAACCCGCACCTCAACTGGCTTATCTTTAAAAGTTTTAGAGGGTCCCTTTTGCATGGGATCATGCCCTTTAAGAGGTGAATGCTCCTGTTTTAAGTGCCTCTGTGATGAGTTAAAGGTAACCTGTAACACCACCCTAAGGTAACCAGAGTTGGTTATGAATGATGACTTTTCCGAGGGAAAATGTTCAACTTCTTTCATTTTTTGTAGCAGTTTTCCTTATTTGTTGTTGTTGTTGTTGAGAGGAAGACTTGTTGGAGAAGAAAGCCTGACATCGCCTCTTGCGTTTGTCAATTAAAAATGGCATAATTTTTGTTTAAACACAAGTGCCCTCAGGTTTTGGTTAACAAAAAATGAAATGAATGGTTTGGGCTTTTCAAGGAAAAAAAAATTATTATTTTTTTTTAATAAAAAGGGGGTTTCTCCCCAACACACAAATCTCTCCATTTTGTCCAAAAATATTTTCAGTCAAATGGAAAGTTTCTGCAATGGTAACAGCCACACTGTCAGAGGAGAGGGAAGGAAGAGCTTGTGTGTAAAAGGAAGCTCTTCCTTCTTTGTGTTCATTGTTTTTGATCTTCAGTACCCTGGGAACAAATTTATTAGATCACTACTAATAATTAATTAATGCAACGCTTGCATTTTTGAACCAGTGATCTCCTGGTTCTTTTCAAACATTTGTTTTTGGATTTAGGTGTTTGATCCCCAGCAGGGGAAAAAGAAAAAGATTATTTTGTTAGTACCCTGTGTATTTAAACATTATTTGTTGTGTGCACGTGCTAGGCAGTGTCCACGCATATAATGAAAAACATCTTAGAACCTAAATAGACAGACCAAATAAAGCAGAAATGCAGAGAAGAAGTGACTTGCCCAAGGTCATACAGTAGGTCAGTGGCAGAGCTGAAAAGTGGACCCAGGCATCCTAACTCAGTCCCTTGCTTCAAAGCATATTTGGAGCCAACATCAAAATATTGCATCAAAATATAAATTAGGGGGAAATGTAGAAAGCAGCTGCATGAATAGTGACTCATTCTCTCAGGGGGCTAAGCAGCGCTTTAGACCTGGTCCTAGTGATTTCCTATGGGCGAGGAAAGTCCTGAGGACAATTTTCATTGGGTGATTTGGTGGGTGGACTGATGGCAGGCAAGGAAGCCAAACTTCTGAGGGATTAAGGGAGATATTTCTGTCTCTGTGACCGATTAATCTTTCCTTTTGCAGTTGTTAACAGCCGCCCAGCATCCCAGCCATCGTGCTGCTTTGTGTAGGCATCAGGAGGTAAAAAACAGTGGACCTGAAAAGGCTGGAGATGATCACTAATTAGTGAACTCCCATCCAACTCCTGCACAGGGCACAGGATTATTTGGCATCCTCGGAGAAGCGATATCTTCTCAGTGAAATGGCACCTGCTGCCATCGAATGCGTGAAGTCGTTCTGAAAAGTCTCCTAATGGGGGTTGCAGCTGGCAGGCTTGCTCTTTTTGCAGTGCCTTCACATAAGGCAAAAGAAGGCAGTCAGCATTTTTGCCATTTAGGCATAAGGGATCTCGTTCCCCCAACCGAAGGAGGGATGTCCGGGCATCCAAGTGCAGGGGTAGCAAAAAATGTGGCAGCTCCCTGCAAGATAGGTGTTGTGTGGGACTGAATGAGGATTTCACATGTCTCCGTGTCTTTGACGTGGCTCTCCCGGGCCCGCAACCACAGAGGAGAGTGTGTGTGTGAATGTTACAGTAATGATTCAGGCTGCTGCTAATGACTTTTAACCTTCTCGGGACACAACAGGAGCAAACCTGCTTTGATTTCGAGGTCCACAACCTGCTTATTTTGTTTTCCCTTTGTTGACCGGTCTCTCTGAACAGCTGGGAACTAGCGAGCAGCAGGTATTTAGGGCTGTGCAAAGGATGCTGGCAGCACACAATGGGTCATTCTTTTGAGCTTTAAAGCATGTGTTTCCAAAGATCCCGGCACTCATTTGGATCCATTGCAAATGTCCAAGCAGCTTCTCCGCCTTATCATAGGAGGCGTAAATGGCTATCATGCACTTGCTATCCCCAGTGAGAAATTAGCTCATCGTTAAATGGTTGCTTTAAATACCAGGGGAGGATGGATGAGCATAACATCAACAAGCTCCAAGCTTGTCCAACCCAGCACTACCTCCTACTGGGAGGAGTCTCATTGCTAGTGCATGGTCATAAAAACACAGAAAATAGGGCTGGAAGTGACCTCAAGAGGTTCATCTTCCTCCTCAAGGCAGGATCACCCCAGTCTAAACCCTCCCGGACACATATTTGCCTAACCATCACTTAAAAATTGCCAGTAACAGAGATGGTAGGTGATTTGTTCTAGTGCTGAGCTACCCTTATGGTCAGGACGTTCTTCATGACATCCTCGACTATCTGCTGCCCTTGGAGGACGCGCCCTAGGAATCGTAAGGAGGAAACAAAGGGAAAATAGAGGTGGGGCATGGAAAGGATGAGAAATGCAAATGAAGAAAATGATGGATAAGCATAAGGAGAAGAGAAATGAAGCAGAAGTAGAGATGGGAAGGTGGATATGATGATGGGAAGAGAAGTATAGTGGATGCCACATTCCCACCAGGCCACCGTGAGTCAGACTGTCCCACGAAGACCCGTTATGTCACCAGCGCTTGCTCTCTCAGCAGGCAAAGGTGGTGCTGGGGGGAAGCTGCTGGCTAACCCGCAGCTCCGCAGAAAAGGACCTGGGGGTGACAGTGGACAATAAATTGGCTATCAGTTAACAGGGTGCCCTTGTTGCCAAGAAGGCTAATGGCATCCTGGGCTGCATTGGTGACATAAGATCGAGGGAAGTCATTATTCCCCTCTATTCAGCACAGGTGAGGCCACATCTGGAGTCCTGTGTCCAGTTTTGGGCCTCCACTACAGAAAGGATGTGGAAATGTTGGAGAGAGTCCAGCGGAGGGAGGAAAATGGCTGTGGGCTGGGGGACTTGACTGGTGGGGAGAGGCTGAGAGCACCGGCCTGATTTATTCTGCAGAAGAGCAGACTGAGGAGGATTGAATAGCAGCCTTCACCTCCCTGCAGGGGGGCTGCAAAGAGGATGGCGCTGGGCTGTTCTCAGTGGGGGCAGACGACAGGACAAGGAGCAATGGGCTCAAGTTGTAACAAGGGAAGTTGAGGTTGGATATTAGGAAAACGTTTTTCACGAAGGAGGGTGGGAAGTGCTGGAACAAGCTACCCAGAGAGGTGGTGGAGTCTCCATCTTTGGAGGTTTTATGACCCAGCTCGATAAAGGCCTGGCTGGGATGCTCTAGCTGCTCCGAGCAGGGGGTTGGACTAGACGTGACCTCCTGAGGTCCTTTTAACCCTCATTTTCTGTGACTGTAACTCTGGATACTGGAAGCTATTGCCAATCTTGCCATTTCCCAGGATTGATGTCTCCGCATCATTGCGACACAGAAAAGATGTGCTGGGCACATGTTTATCAGCTTTCTTTTTTTCTTTCCCTTAGGAAACCAAGATGGACTACAGATCCTCCTTCAGTGGAGTCCCAAGGTTTTTAACCCGGCCGAAGGCCTTTCTGGTATCTGTGGGGAAAGATGCCACCCTGAGCTGCCAGATCATTGGAAACCCTGTCCCAGTGGTGAGCTGGGAAAAAGATAAACTTCCCATCCAGTCTGGGGGGAGGTTTAAAACGGTGGAAGATGGAGATCTATACCGGCTCACCATTTACGACCTCAGCTTGGACGACAGTGGCCAGTACATCTGCAGGGCCAGAAACACCATCGGGGAAGCTTTCGCCGCAGTCAGCATCAAAGTCGGGGAGGAGACCACCGTGACAGCATTCGCCCCGTACTTCATCCAGAAACCCTCCTCCATCAGAGTCACTTTGGGGGAAGATGCGACGTTCAGGTGCAAAGTCCAAGGCAGCCCACCGCTCTCCGTGAACTGGGAGAAGGACGGGAGGCACCTGCGGGGCCGATCGGACTCCAGGCGCTTCCAGGTCGAGTCTGCTGGGGAGTCAAATGCTCTCACGATCCAGTGCGCTCGGCTGGGGGACAGCGGGACGTACACGTGCCGAGCGGAGAACCCCGTCGGCCAAGCCAGTGCTACCGCCGCGCTGGTGGTGGAGACGCAGGGTCCTTGCAACCTGGACAGCCCCAGCCATTTAGACACGGGCTATGGCAAAACCACCTCTTTGCTGTCGCATTTGCAAAAGCGGCGGGAGGAAATCAGGAAGACGGATCTATCCATCTACGGAGTCACGGATACCCATTCGTACTCAGCCGCAGAAGGGCTGTCCGGTATTGGCTACAGCCTCTCTTTAGACTACGAGAGGGCTGCCAGCCTGACCACCAAAGCAGCTCGAAATGCCACCTTCAGCGTGACGACCCGCACCTGCAATGTGACAGAGGGGAAGCATGCCAAGCTGAGCTGCTACGTGACGGGAGAGCCGAAGCCAGAGATCGTGTGGAAGAAGGACGGCGAGGTGATTATGGAGGGGCGCCGGCACATCATCTATGAGGACGAGCAGGAGAACTTTGTGCTGAAGATCCTCTTCTGCAAGCAGATTGATAATGGGCTTTACACGTGCACGGCCTCCAACCTGGCAGGACAGACCTACAGCTCCGTGCTGGTCGTTGTCAAAGGTATGGGGGTGCGTTTACCCATCTCCTGGCTCAAAACTTGTCTCTCCTGATCAGGGCCTTGATTAATGATAGCAAAACCTCCCATTTCCCCCTTTTCATTTCATGAAGTGTCAAAGAACCGCTTGCATGTCATTGTGGAGGGAACGCCTGCCATGCAAGCCCACCCTTTGGTCTCTTCTGGGTGCCCTAAATGGCCTGCAACACCAGGGCTGTTTCCAGGTCTGTTCTTCTCATTGGAGGAACCCATTGGCCTCCCTGCTCTCTTCACATCGCCATAAACAGCTGATGCTCTCTAGACCTCTTTTCTCTGTTTTTTAGTCTGCCTTCTAGCCTACCCATGTGCCCCCAGCACTGCCAGGCCCAGGACGGCTGTGCTTCGTGCAGCCAGGAAAAGGGCAGAGATGCCTCTGGAGCTTTCTGTAAAGGGCCGATCATCCCTTGTCGACAGAGTCTGTGGACTCTGCTATAAATGAGATTGGTTTCCAATAGAAGCATGTGAAAAATCCTAAATGCAAATACCGCCCCCCCCCAAAAGAAAATGTCCTTTTTTCGCTTTGAATGTTTAAACTGTTCTCCCATCTTGCAAAATTTCAGAGGCCCGCTTGCACCATAAGAAAAGCTCTTTGCAAGTGAGGTGTGCATACGTGAACAGGTCACTTTTGTCCCTTTAATGTGAACGGAGTCATTTCAAAATCATGATTTCTAGATGGTGAAATGGCTCAGAAAAACAACAGATTTCTGCATTAAATAACAGGACAGTTTTCAGGCATATTTGTAGAGCTCATTCTCATCCTGGGGTGTAATTAAAAAAACCAACAGAATGATGAATGCTGCATTCCAAGACAAGTGCATTTGGCTCCTCGTCGTTTGAAAAGATATTGTTTACTGCATTGCCAATCCAAATTAGGTAAGGTATCATGAGCTGGGCTCCAAAAAACCCTCATGATACTGGTTTTTTTAAACCCAAGAAGTAGAAATATATTAATTTATTTTATATAGTTATATCTATCTAATCTACCTAATCTAGCTATAGATATAGATAGATAGAGATATATATCTCTATATATAGATATGTCTATCTATCTATATCTATGTAGATAGCTCGATAGATATCTATATCTATCTAGATCTAGATAGATATCTATATCTATCTATTGAGCTATCTATATAAATATAGATAGATAGACATATCTATAGATGGATAGAGATATCTATTTATCTATCTATATCTATAGATATCTATCTGTCTATAGATATATATTTCAATCTATCTATCTCTACCTATCTATATCTATAGATAGAAATATACATCTATAGATGTCTATAGCTAGATAGGGATATATCTTTTGCCTTCTGTTTTTGTAGTTTCTAGGGTTCACATTTTAAAGTTGTTCTATGTGACCCGGTAGGTTAGAATTTTTCTTTAAAGACAAGAAAGAAGGAAAAGAAAGCTGAGATCTTTACCTAATCCCCTGACTCATAGTTTCATAGTTTCATAGATTTAGGGTTGGAAGGG